TGGCAGGGGATTCTGCTCCTGTTGGCAAAGCTGTTTGCCTGGGGGGATGAATCCCACAGGGAAAAGGGCTGTGATGTGCCAGGCTCTTTCCTGTGGTAGGAGGCTGCAACCTCTGACGACCAGGCCAGGAGGAGTGAGTGTGTGCCATGCGACAAGGACCGGAAAGGGCCTGGTGGTCTGTGGCACTGTGGCAGCAGCTCACCTGGCCACTGGTTAGCAGCCATTTGGAGCCCAGGTGTTCTGCCTCCTCCCTCCCATCTGGAAGCAGGATGGTGTCTGCCCAAGGACGAGGACACTCTGTGCTGCCAGGCCAGCCAGGCCCGGGCAGTGTTCTGCTGTGCAAGGACTGCTCGGTCGGGTATGTGGGGGCCCAGGGCTCTAAATATATCAGGGAGGTCACTGGGCTGGAGACGGGGCCACGTGGCAAGCACAGAGCCCACTGGGGCCAAGATCAGGGCTGCAGAGTGCTTAGCTTTGTCACTCCTTTGGGACTGACCCCCACGCCACCCTGGTGTCCCTGTGAGTGGTGTACACCAGGCGGCCACATCTGCCGGACAGTGTGGAGCCAGGGCTTCAGGGCCACTCCGGTGTACTCCTGGACCTGCCCCACCCAGCAGCACTGTGGGCTGAGCCCTGTGCAGAGTGAGTGAGCCCACAGCGAGGGGCCGTGCAGGGGGTGGGGGCAGCATGTGCAAGCTGCTGGAACCTAGGGCTGTGGTGCCCATGTGGCAGAGGGGATCAGAGGAACGACCTGTGTCCCAGCGTGGTCTGAGAGCAGCAGCGTGAGCAGGGCCTTGGGCAGCCGGGCTCTGAGCTGAGGGATGCAGCTCCAGAAACCGGCAGTGGCGACAGCCAGCTAGCCACAGTAACTGGAGACCCAAGGCCAGGTGCACAGCGCCACTGCTTGAACTGCTGGTGACGGCTACAGTGGCCACGGGGACCAAGTCCAAGGGCACGCGGGGGTGTGGGGTGCAGCTCAACCCTGCTCCACTCTCCTACATTTGGGACTTGGGAGCCTGGAGCCCACACCCTGCCTGTGTGTGCGTCAGCCCTGGTAGTCTTGCTGCCAGCTGCCAGGTGTTGAGCACAGCCTTACTTTACTAACAGCGGGAGTAGGGCCTGCCCCTGGAGCGGGAGCTCAGCTGAGCCAGGGCTTGGTCTGCGCCGGACTGTTGGTGGCGCACCAGAGGGAGCAGCAGCGAGGCACACAGCCACGGCTCACTGAGGGTTGCGAGCGTGCCCTGCCTGTATCCAGGGAAATGCTGCTGGGGCTGGGCGGGCTGTGTTGCCTTTCTGTGCCTTTTTACGGGGCCTTCGTAAATAGTGTGTGCCTGTGCAGAGAGCGGAGTCACAGCTTGACAGGGAGTGTGCAAGGTGCCCCTGCGTGCCTTCCGCACGCTGCGGCTGTGCACCCAGACCTTTACCAGGTAGCTGTCGGCAGTGTATGTCCAGGTGTCAGGAAGGCACCTCTGCATCCCGAGGATGAGGACGGCCATTGTCCGCAGCTTTTTTTACACAGTGGTGTATCTGTCACAAGTTTACAGAGATAACTGTGTACTGTCTTCTGGCAATGCTGTGTGAAGCTTGCATGGGTGGGCCTGGGACGGTTCTTGCTGTGGGAAGGGCTGCTGGTATTACCAGGCACTGGCCCTGCCAGGGGGCGTCTGCACAGGCAGAGCCGAGGTGCTCCACGCACCTGCTGGGTCCTGTCGTGTGTCTCCTCTCCCTTAGTGACGCCTGCTTCATGCCCAGATGAACCTGAGAGCCCTTGTTCGTGTGACCCAGTTGACCAGCTCACTTACTCTGTACTGTTCTTTTCTCTGAAGCGTGTGCTTTCATCGCTGCCTGTCGGGAGTGGGTCCCACTACAGAAGCGTGGGGCGGTTGCCAGACTTCGGGGAGGAGGGCGGGGCCCAACTGACACATGGCTGTTGTCCTGCAGATCCGGAACATGGTGGCGGTGTTGGAAGTCATCTCCAGCCTGGAGAGATACCCCATTACCAAAGAGGCACTGGAGGTGAGTACTGTGGCCCGACTGGGCCCCTCGCGTCCCAGGAGGAAGCCCCGGCCAGCTCTGCCCATGCCGTGTGGGTCCTGTTTGCTGTCCCTCTCGTGCGCCTTTGTGTCCTTGCAGTGGCCTGATGGCCCCTGGCTTCCAGGCCCCGGAGGGAGAGTGAGGCAGTGCTGCTGAGAGCCACCTGTGGCTCCCCAGGGCTGGCTTTGGGGCTTTGTCTCCATGCAGGGGAGGGGAAGTCTGGGCAGCTGGCGGCTTAGAGGCCCGAGGCGGAAAGCCCCACCCTAAACGTGTGTGTGCTTGTAGGAGACGCGACTCGGGAAGCTCGTCAATGACGTCCGCAAGAAAACCAAGAACGAGGAGCTCGCCAAGCGGGCCAAGAAGCTGCTGCGCAGCTGGCAGAAACTCATCGAGCCTGTGCAGCAGAATGAGGCGGCGCTGCGCGGGACCAACGGGGGTGCTCACAACTGCCGGCCAGAGGCCGGGGCCAGCGTGTCCAAGGGCGTCCCTGACCTCAAGCACCGCAATGACTTCCAGAGGCTGCCGGGGCCGCGGCTGGACAGGTTGGGCAGCCGCAAGCGCCGAGGGGACCAGCGCGACCTTGGTCATCCTGGGCCGCCTCCCAAGGTCTCCAAAGCTTGCCACGACCTCCTGGGTCCCAACTCCTCCCCACTCCCCACCAACGGGATCAGCGGGAGCCTGGAGAGCTTCCCCAGCCCCGTGGATGGCAGCGGGCTCATGGGCTCTGAGGGCAGCCACCTGGAGGCCGGAGAGAACGACCCGCTCAGCAGCAAGGTCCCGGTGAACGCCGTGAGGCCACACCCCAGCTCCCCGGGCCTGGGCCGGCCCCCCGGGCCCTGCCTGCAGACCAAGGTAGATGAGACCTCTGGCCCACCCCACCCCAGGGCGCCGTCTCGCTGCTCCTTCAGCCCCCGGAACTCACGGCACGAGGGCTCCTTTGCCCGCCAGCGTAGCCCCTACACACCCAAGGGCTCTGTGCCCAGCCCTTCGCTGCGGCCCCTGGTGCTTGAGGCCACACAGGTGCCGTCACCGCTGCCACTGGCCCAGCCAACCACGCCCCCA